CGTTGAGCTCAGGCTGGGACTGCAGACGACCAACGAAACCAGGATTAAACACCAGCAGGGTCTTTCCCTGCTGAGGAGGTGGGAGATGCCTGCACCCCTGGCTTCAGGGGGAGCACGGGGTGAGTCCTGCTGCCCGGCATGCCCACCCAGAGGGTTTGGAGGAGGCTGCAGCCTGCGATCTTGCTGTTCCCAGGAGTCGTCCTCCAGCATGCGAGTTGATCACCCTTGCTACCCAAAAGACTACAATGAAACGGTCTCGCTGTCTTCCTTCCGCACCAGCCCCTGCACGAACTGGAGCAGCCCACTCCTGACCCTTGGCGATGGGACCGTGACCCTGGAGGGCAGGGGTGATGCCAGCGGGTGCCTGGCTGCCATCAAGAAGCTGTTCAACTTCTCGGCGTGTGGCCACAGCCAGGACTGCACCTTCGACGGTGTCTACCAGCCCCTGGTCACAGGGCAGTTCATTGTAAGGAAAATCCCCTCCTCGCATCCCTGCGACAGCGCATGTCCCTGGGCGCTGTGGTGTCCACGCGTGCCCTTCGATACTGTCACCTCCCTGTGGCAGAACAGGGACAAAAACCTCCCAAATTACCGCTGGCGCAGGGCACACTGGGGTTTGCTGCTGTCTGGTTCTCCAGCCAGCTCTCCAAATGGGATTGTGTTAATAGAACAGTCAAAACCCAAGTTTTCAGTAAAAAAACCAAACCAGAACAACCCAGCTTAGCCAGTGGCCTTCAGGCAAGGCTCTGTCTGTGCTGGACATGCTGCTGTAGACAGCAGGCACCTCCAGCCTCAGCCCATCATCTCTGCTGGGACAGGACAGCGATGCTCTGGGGCTGCACAAGGGTGGGTGAACCTGGTGAAAGCCAACCCTACCTCCTGCTTCAAGGGGGATGGGGGCGGCTGCCTGAGGGGACCTTCCTCACCATAGCTCAACAGCATTTCATCTCTTGCCTTTCAGGCCTTCTCTGCCTTTTACTATAATTTCAAGTTTCTCAACCTGACTGAGGGGCAGTCACTGGCCACGGTCAAAGAGACCATCGAGCGTTTCTGCACAAGAAGCTGGGAAGATGTAAGTTCCCTATGATGGGAAGATTTAAATATGGGGAAGAATCACAAGGAAAGGGGTGTGAGAAGAAGGGTGGAGATCCCTCCAGGACAAGGGTCCCTGGTTGCTGAGCTGTGCCCTGCACAGCAGAGCCATCCCTGAGCAAAGTGGGGGAGCCAGGACCACCCTGCACCCACCCTTAGGGGCTCTCCTTGGTCATGCAATGTTGGGAAAGGGGCAGCCAGGGCAAGTGAAGGCAGAAAAACCTCCGCTCCAGCACAGAAGCTGGGGATGGAGGTGAGTCCATAGCACTGGAGGGTGGTGAGAAGAAAGCCAGCTGCTGTCACCTCTCTGGAGATAAGTCCCACGGGGATGGATAAAGGCAAGACATGTGCTAGGACCACCACGGGACAGAGAGGAGGAGCCTTTGTACAAGGAGGCTGAGATGGGAGAATCTGGGGCAGGAGGAGGTCCAACATGTCTCTCTGTTTCCATGTGGAGGCTAAATCCTCCTCAAAGGAGTTGCCCTGTGTGGACAGGGCCTGGTCCAGAACATCTTTTCTGGGCGCTGGTGGCTGTGGAGCCATTGCCCCTTGTGCAGCAGTCACCAGGGCATTGTGCCTGCATGGAAACTGCCTGCAAATAGCTTCCCTTCCTCCCCAAACACTTCCGCACCCCAGCTGTCCTCCAGCTACCCTGAAGAGAATCCCGAGCGACTGCCTAAATACTGCACCAATGCCAACTACATCCTCACGCTCCTCCTCGATGCCTACAAGTTCAACGAGATCAGCTGGAACAACATCATCTTCCGGAAGAAGGTAGGCTGCAAACCCAGCACTGGGAGAAAGAGTCAGTTTCACGCATCTGGGTGCTGCCAGAGCCACGGTCCAGAAAGCTCTGCCTGCCCCCCATCCCGGTGTGGGGCCAGCACTGCCCCCCATTTGGGCCGTGCAGGATTTGTTGGCCCTTTGTCTTCGGTGTGGCTTTCCTGGTGGGCTAACTCGTGGTCTCTTTTCTCCTTGGGCAGGCAGGGAGCGCTGACATCGGCTGGACGCTGGGCTACATGCTGAACCTCACCAACATGATCCCGGCGGAGGCTCCGGCACGGGTCAAGGGACACGTTCCTTCCCTGTGGGCTGCGGCCGTTGCCTTCATCATCCTTACCCTTGCCTTGGGGCTTGCTGCCCTGCTCCTGCTCCTGTGGGTGTAGGAGCCCAGCTGTGTTTTGGAGCATGGCAGGAGCACGTCGGGGCTGGAGGGCTGTCTGCACTGTGGTGCTGTGCTCCTCTGCCAGCGTGACCGGCAGCCTGGGACTGGTTCAACGATGCTGAGCACATAAACCTCTACAGCACTGAAGAACCAAGGTCTGATCTCCCACAGGACGGCCCCACCATGCAGATAGGTGCCACACAAGGTTTGCAGAGGAGCTTTGCTCCCATGGAGACCTGCTGGGATGATCCTACACACCGTGGAACAACCCCTGCCATGCCTATCCAGCTCCTTACACCGCTCTGCCTCTTACAGATGTGGCCTCCATTCCACCAGCTGGCACATGGAGCCATGGAGAGCCAGCCTGGCTGTGGAGGAGCTCCCTGAGTGCCAGACTGTTGGTGCACAGCTGCAGGCACCTGGTGACAGGGTGCTTCATGTGGTGCTGGGTCTGACCCACAGTCACCGACAGCCAGGCAGGTCCCTGCTGGGTCTGCAATTGGGAGGGCATGCAAGGCTCTGCGGTACCCCAGCCGGCTCTCCTGGGTATCTGTTGTTTGGGCTTATCTGCTGGCCTTGGAAACAGAAGGCAAACTGAGCATCCAAAGTCAGAAGCATGGTGGTCCATGCCTCCCCAGGGGATTTGTCTCGTCTCGTCTCGTCTCGTCTCGTCTCATCTCATCTCATCTCATCTCATCTCATCTCATCTCATCTCATCTCATCTCCCTTTTCTTCCTGGATAAAGGGATCGATGTTCCTGAATATCTTCCTGGAGACCAGAGTGTTCCACCAGCAAAAGACCTGGACACCGTGGGTTTCAGACTGAGACTGCAGCAGGCCTGCCAGAGCTGAGCTGGGTCCTGCCCACAACTGTGCCCTTGCCTTTGCCTTTGTTTCTGCCCAGCTGTTATCTGCCCTGTGGATGATTCATCTTGTTATTTGCCCCTCCACGCCCCCCCGTCAGCAAGGACCTGGTCTTTGATGTCTCTGCAGAAAGGAAACCATCTCACAGCTCTTGTCATCCAAATAAACATTGTAAAAGACAACTAATGAGGAGATGCCTGTTACTTTGCTCCCAAACAGTTACAATTTTATTGTTTCCATCTCCCAGATAAGGGCTGGTGATGCTGATGGGGACTCGGAGGAGAGTCAGTGCTGTTCAGTCTACGGGAGATGTCCCTGGAGACCTTCTGCCAGACTTCGGAGAGCAGCCAGCAGGGCAGGAGGACAATCCTTTTCCTTCTAAGAGCTGGGGTGTCTCACCTCTCACAAAAATGCAAGGGGGTCCCTGGAAGCTGCCCTTGAGGTGTCCTGGCAGCATTCCCAAATTGCCCTCTGGGCTGGAAAGGGAGGGTGAGATGTCTGCCTGGCACAGACACAGGGTGCAGCCAGTCCAGAGATGAACCTCGTGCAGGGGGCTACTGCCATCCCCCACCTCGCAGGGCTTCCCAGTCCCGGGCAGAGCCCAGCCCTGTGTACCAGGTGAGCTTCGCCCCACGGCCCCACTGCACAGCCCCTCTGGCTGGTGGAGAAAAGAGCAGAGGGAAAAGGGAAGGGCAAAAGAGAGAAGGGAAGGGAAGGGAAGGGAAGGGAAGGGAAGGGAAGGGAAGGGAAGGGAAGGAAAGGGAAGGAAAGAAAAGGAAAGGAAATAATTGTTACACATCTACACATTGTTTAAGTGATACTAAAACATTTTTCAGAAAGGAAGTATAAATGCTTTCATATTTTTAAAAATATGTATTTGTTTTCATTCATAAACATGTTTCAGCTATTTACAGAAAATGTACAAAAATTTCATGTAAAAAAATTCAGCTGAAAGTAGCTGAAAGCTGTCAAAGAAGTACTACATATGGCTTGCTTTATTCCTGTTATTTCTCAGCAAAAAGAGAAGAAAAGAGAAGAAAAGAGAAGAGAGAAAAGAGAAGAGAGAAAAGAGAAGAGAGAAAAGAGAATTTTCAGTTGGAAGTGACCTACAAGGACCATCTAGTCCAACCACCTGACCTCTTCAGCACTGACCAGAAAATTAAAGCGTGTTGTTCAGGGTATTATCCAAATGCCTCTTAAAGACTTCGGGCTTGGGGCATCGATCACCTCTCTAGGAAGCCTGTGCCAGGGCTTGATCACCCTCTTGGTGGCCATAGGCAATGCAGGATCTCGTCCCGGGATGGGGTGGAACACACCTGCCTCACATCAGGTATCTGCTGCAGGCTGTAACCAGCCCCACGATGAACCTGTTGCTGTCAGACGCCCTCTCCCTCTTCCCTGACCCACCGCCTCCAGCCACCCCACCTCACTGTGGTCCCCATGCCCCCAGTGCTGATGCCCTGCCTGACATGTCCATGCCCTCTCTCCTAGAGCCTCTCCAACCAGCGGGGAGGGGAGAAGAAAACCAGACAGCACACAGCTTCAGGGAGGATTTTCTTAAAGCTTGTGCTGGTTCCAGTTCACCAGGGCAGGCTGGGGGTGCCCCACATTACAAGTTCACAGCTCCTGGAGACATGGAGGCTCCTTGCCCAAGCGCAGCAGCAGGACTGGGCGGGTTCGGCAGCCTGCGGAGCCAGCGCTGCTACAGACTCTCATAACCGGAGGAGTTTCTCTGGCAGCACGTGACTGTGAGCAGGCAAAAGATGAGAATGAGCATGATGGCCAGTAAAACCGTGGCTGTTATCCAGCTGCTTCTCTGGAGCCCTACGACTCTCTGGGGAGTCTCCGAGGGAATCATGTTGGTGAGATTGAGCATGTAGCCCAGCGCCCAGCCCACGTCTACGTTAGCAACCTGTGCAGACAGAGAAGGAAGAGGGATGTGAGGGGCTGCAAAACACCATGAGAGCCAGAGAGCTAGAGAAGACATTTGCTGTTGCATCACCAGGTCCTGCTCCACAGCCACCATATCTGTCCCCACCTTGGGCTGCAGATACCCCAGCAGCAAGGCAGGCTGGGTGACAGCAGAAATGGCCCCGGCCAGATGTCCCAGCAGATGCCTGTGAGGGTAACTCAAGATCTGCCCTGGGTGGGCACAGTGGACCCCGTTATCCTGCTCCCCGATGCCAGCAGGGCAAGGGCGAGCGTGAGCCATGTTATGGCACAAAGTGTGGGAGCCAGGGGCTGCCGGGCACTTTCATACCTGCTGGACAAAGTGGATGTTCTGCCACATCACATTGTTGAACTTGTAGCCTTGCAGGAGAAGGGTGAGGACGTAGGAGCTGGCTGCGCAGGCGTCACGAAGGTGGGTCCTGTTTGTGGTGGGGAACCTCTTCTGCACCTGCAGAGGTGGAAGAGCATGGAGGGGCGGCTGGCAGCACCGGGCAGTGCTCCGGGGAGAGCAAAGACCTCGGAGCCCCTGAGGTTGGCCAGCAAGGAGGAGCCAGGAGGTTGCAGCCTATTCTCCCATCTCCCTCCTGGTCCAGAGGTCTCCCAGCTCCCTCCAGCAGAGGATGGGCTGTGGATGAGCCCTCAGGCTGCCCAGTGCCCAGGGAAAACATGGGAAGAGGCTGACATCTCCTATGCAGGTTCTCACCTTCTCCCAGCTGCTGTTGCAGAATTGCATGATGGTGGCATTGACTGAGCCCAGGGACTGCCTTCCCGTCACGTTCAGAAAGTGAAGGTTGTGATAAAGCCCTGAAAAGGCCTGTGGGTGATTAAAACCAAGGGTGGCAGGTTAGTGAAGCACTCAGGACACTGCCACCCCTCCACACTCCTCCCTCTGGGTGCTCTGCAGGGCTCCCTGAGGCCACCTCTCAGCACGGCAGGGGG